ACCAAGCGTTTAGCACTAGCAGCAACCAATCTACTTGATTTACTTCTTGCGAACAAAAGCTAAACTAGAATCTAATATTGTTAAGAATGTTTCTGATGATGATGATGATCATCCAGTTACAACTGTTAGACAGTTATTCAGAATAAAATTTTACTCAAAAAATCCGTTACTCAAGAAAAAGCTTTAGTTACTTAGCAGACTCTCCACCCCCACCAAAACTTCTTTCAAAAACGCTCGTGTTAACCTTTCAAAATAGATAATTCATTTTCGAAAGCCAAATTTCAAACTTTAGAAACATTTCAGCAGAGATGCAGAATCTCCCGTTAAGAATGAGAGACTTCCCCAGTAGTATCAAAATATTTTCTTCTATAATTATTTTTCACTAAAAATGCTATGTTTTTCAAGCTTTTTTAGAAAATTAGAAGAATTTTCCCCGGCGAACATCCTGAGCAAACGAGTATATTCTGTACCTCCGTGTTCCAATCCTAGTAGTAGGTCAAAATAGATTTATCGTGTGATCTTACCTGCTTGTATCATTGTATCGTTTATGTAATAATTATCTGTAATTCGTAATTTAGCTTCCTCTTCTTGATGAACAAGCTCAGAAGCCACAATTGCTTCTCGCCACGATTTAAACACAAATAATAAATCTCTTAAACGTAATTCTGGTCTACCAGTAGCCATTACTTCATAAACATGATTGGCCTATTTTAGAAAAAAGTACAACAAATACGCTAGACAAAACGGTTACGTATCTTTCAATAAAGCTTACCGAAACGTGTAATTTTTTACATTTAAATATGAAATATTCAGGAACAATGAGTACTTGTGCTGAACAACTTCGCTGAACAACAGTATTCGGTAATGTTGACACATTTAAGTTCACATAATTTTGAACCTAAATCGAAACAAACAAGATAATTAGTATCTTTAAATCAACAGAATCGTTCTATATTTCGGAACTATATAAAAAGTAGTGACGAAATGCAAATCAAAAACAAAAAATTATGAAAAGGAAGAGAACTCTCAAAGGAAGTCATCTGTTTTTGAAGTCATATTTCAATCACACATATTTTTCTCACATACCCATCGTTGTTCTTGTATAAGTGCATTCAATTCATCGAATCCACGATAGCATAATTCGTTCAAATTCATTAATAACTCATTTGTGTTCGTTGTTACTGATTGTAATGGAATGGACGGTTGTGTTACATTTAAGGATGTTGTTGTGGACGACATTTGTTGTTGTTGTTGTTGTTGTAATATTATACTTCTCATTTTTCGTTGCAGAGCAATGTTTGAAGAGGGAATCGAAGATTTTGCTAAATGATTTGTCATATGCAGCTGTTGAAGTTCATTCCATTGCTGATGTGTTTGTACATTATTTACATTTGTCTCTGTGTCATTTCCGGGCCAGAACTGATATGTTTGTGCGCATGAAAATGCATTGTTTACAGGTGTTGGTTGTTGCTGAGTCATTGTAGCTGATAAACGTAAAAGATTCGTGTAAATCGCGTCGCTCTCCTCTTCTTCTATTCCATGATGAGGTATTTTGTTTTCAGTTGGATTATTCATTTTTTGAACGGGAAAATGAAATATTGATGACGGTTCGTTACTGAATAAAAATTTTCGACTCTGACTATTGGCTGATAATGATGCCATCCCTGATGATGATAATTGCTCGTCGATGCTACACGTGGATGATTTGCTTGATGACGAAGCGGTCGACGAGGAGGAGATTGTTTGGGTTCGTGGTTCTTGTTGTTGATCTGATTGTGTAGACGATGTTGGTTTTCTTAAATCATGTTCACTCAGTTCTGTCAAATTCGGTTGATTCATCGGAAATTCTAAACAAGAGA